GAGGTACTGGGGCTGGAGGCCCTGGGGCTGGTTCTGTCGACCCTGGAGTTGGGGGTACTGAGTTTGCTGGCGTTCCTCTGGGTCTCGTTTTGCGACGCGGGCTTGTCTCACCACAGCAGGCACGAGAGTGGCTTGCGTCGCGTACCTGCCTGAGGAGTCGTGCTGCTGGAGCAGCTTGTCGTGGAGGCGCTGGGAGTGCTGGTGTCTCTGGTCCTGGAGGTGCTCGTACTGGAGGTACTGGAGCTGCCGAGACTGGTACTGCTCCTGGAGCTGGAGGTGTCGGCTCTGGGGGTGCTGCTGTTGGAGGTACTGGGGCTGGAATCCCTGGAGCTGGTGCTGTCGACCCTAGCGTTGGAGACCCTGGAGCTGGAGGTGCCGGTTCTGGGGGTGCTCCACTTGGAGGCCCTAGCGCTGGTCCTGTCGACCCTGGAGTTGGGGACCGTGAGGCTGGAGGTGTCAGTTCTATGGGTGCTGCTACTGGTGGCGCTGGAGCTAGAGGTTCTGGAGCTGCTGGAGGCGCTGGAGCTGGAGGTACTGCTGCTGGAGTCCCTGGAGCTGGAGGTGCTGGGGCTAGAGGCGCTGGAGCTAAAGGTGCTGCTGCTGGAGTCGCTGGAGCTGGAGGTTCTGGAGCCGCCGGAGGCGCTGGAGCTGTTGGAGGCGCTGGAGCTGGAGGTGCTGCTGCTGGAGTCACTGGAGCTGGAGGTGCTGCTGCTGGAGGCGCTGGAGCTACTGGTACTGGTGGCCCTACACCGTGGCTCCTGTTTTTCTCTCCGCCGTCACCGTCGTCTCTGCCACCGCCTGACTCCGTGCTTCGCCAGGTTCTTAGCCTCCTGTCTTCCACTGGCCTCTCGTTACAGTCTGGCGCACCACCGCCCGCTCCTTCTCCTTACACTGAGCAGACAGACTCGCTTACAAAGCGTCGTGAGCCTGCGTCTCGTCCTGCCTCGCCTGTTCGCGCTGGTCGCACTGGTCGTCGTGTTCCTTGTGAGCGTCCGCCTCCTGTCCTTGCACGCACCATATGGCACTTCGTCCTTCCTCTGATCCGCAGCGTGGTCCCCTACCGTCTCCTCCTTCGTCTTCTCTACCTGACGTTCAGGACCCTGAGTCTGACCTGGTTCGTGCTACTCACCCTACTGTCACGCGTCTACTAGCCACTGTTGTCACTGACCCGTCGTTTGAGTCTGCTGCTGCGTCTACCTTAGTTGCTGAGCTTGTTGACTTTGCTGCTGCCTATTGTCTCGACTTCGCTGCTAGTCTTGTTGCTGACTCTGAGTTTGTCTGTCCTCCGTTCATCGGGGGTGAGTGTGCTCTTGGCACGGACGTCCTTGAGGACAGGCAAGAGGACTTTGAGTGTCTTACAGCCGCTGCGCCTCATCTCGTGGCCATGCTGCTTGCCCCTGAGGGAGACCCGGATGCCCCAGACATCCCGACCCTGCGCTCTTTCGATAAGGCGATCGCGGGTGAGTACTTGTCTCACTGGCAGAGAGCCATGGACGCAGAGATGGCATCCTGGAAGTCCACAGGCACTTATGTTGATGAGGTTCCCCCTCCTGGGGAGAACATCGTCGATGGCATGTGGATTTTCAGGGTGAAGCGGCCGCCGGGTTCTCCGCCTGTCTTCAAGGCTCGTTACGTTGTACGAGGCTTCAGTCAGCGATAGGGAGTTGACTTCTTCCAGACCTTCTCCCCCACCCCAAAGATGACCACTCTTCGGGTGTTGCTGCACGTTGCCACTCAGCGTGACTACGAGCTTCACTCTCTGGACTTCAGCACAGTGTTCTCACAGGGCAGTCTGCACGAGGAGATCTGGCTGCGCCGCCCACCTGGTTTCACTGGGTCGTTCCCTCTTGGTACCCAGTGGAGCCTCCGTCGGCAGGTCTACGGTCTCCGCCAGGTGCCTCGTGAGTGGCACGACACACTTAGGACGACACTTGCGGCTCTTGGGTTCGCCCCTTCCACTGCTGACCCGTCGCTGTTTCTGCGCACCGACTCTTCACTGCCACCGTTCTACATCCTCGTGTACGTTGACGACTTGGTCTTTCCCACTGCTAACACTGAGGCTCTCGCCCTGGTAAAGTTGGAGCTGCAGAAGAGACACACGTGCACAGACCTGGGTGAGCTGTGCAGTTACCTTGGCTTGCAGATCACCCGGGACAGAGCACGCCGCACCATCATACTGACTCAGTCACCCATGGTGCAGCAGGTCCTTCAGCGCTTCGGCTTCACCTGGTCCTCGGCACAGGCCACTCCTCTGGCTACAGGTCACTCGCTCTCAGCTCCACCTTCGGACGAGTCCGTAGAGCCGAGTGGACCGTACCCAGAGCTAGTGGGCTGCCTCATGTACCTGATGACCTGCACTCGACTGCGTACCTTCTTGGCCTTCTGGCACGCTACGTGGCTCCTGGTAGGCACCCAAAGATGCACATGGATGATGCGAAGAGGGTCTTGCGCTACTTGTGCAGTACATCGGGCATGGGGCTTGTGCTTCGAGGGCGGAGCTCAGTTGTCCTCACTGGGCACTCAGACGCTTCTTGGGTTGATGATCTGGCTACGCAGCGGTCGTCACAGGGTTACACGTTCAGCCTTGGCTCTGGCTCTGTTTCTTGACGGCCTACTCGCTTGTCTTCTGTTCTCAGCTCCAGTTGTGAGGCTGAGATCTACGCCACAGCCATGGCAGCACAGGAGGTGCGTTGGCTTACCTACCTGCTGACCGACTTGGGAGAGAGGCCTCATTCTCCTCCAGTTCTGTACGTCGACAACAAGGCTGACATTGCCTTGTGTCAGGACCACAGACTGGAGCACAGAACGAAGCACATCGCTCTGCGTTACTTCCTTGCTCGAGAGTTGCAGCAGCGTGGTCACCCGGGCCAACACTGCTGATGTGTTCACCAAGGCCCTTCCGGCTGGTAATCATCAGCGCTTCTGCACTGCTCTAGGCCTGGTGCCTACGTTTCCTCACTTGCTGTAGACTCTGGTTGTACTGTGATCTATATATGTGTACCTGCATATTTACACTTGCTAGGTAGTGATCATTGTACTGTTGTTGTTGCATATATACCTCTGCATGTGAACTGGCCTTGTGGCCCATTTGCTTGTGCTCGAGTGTGTGGTGACGTTGTGATCCACCCCGAGCTTGCTTTGCTTTTCTTAACTGGTCTTGTGACCCCTTGTTCTCCCCCACTTTGCCTATGGGGGTGTGTCAAACTATATATGTGTTAGTTCTGTGTAGGCTATAGTGGGGTAGCCCATATGGGGTACAACCCAAAGTTAGGGTTAGTACTTGTACCCACATTTCATTCAATACAACCATTCCTGCTTGCTATCTTGACACAAACGCAGTAGTAGACTCAAATGAAGGGTCAGTGACAACCGTAGCGAGGAGACGAGTGACAGTAGGACTAGCAGCACGAGCAAAGTCGAACTCAGGGTCAGGAACGTCAGGAAGAGTGGACGCCGGAGGAGACAGCAGAGCAACACGTTGTGGAACAGAGTAACGAAGAAGTGTCATAGTGTGTATGCCAGGGATATGTGGAGGTCGAGAAAGACGAGTACGGCCAACAGTGAGGACGAGACTCAGGCTCACGACGCTCTGTCAGGGAGCCTGTTTGTGCAGGGTAGGGAAAAGGAGCAGGCAGTGGAGAGCCAGGCAGTAACCGCGGCTGTGACTGGTCAAGCGGAGGACACGTGAGAGGCGGAGTAAGGACAGTGGAAGACGGAAGACTATGAACTTGACGAAGTGCCGAGTCAGGCGGTGGTAATGGCGACTGCAGCTGTGGGCAGAAAAACGGTCGGCGCGGCGCAGTACACGTACCGTCAGCAGCTCCAGCACCTCCAACACCTCCAGCTCCAGCACCTCCAGTACCTCTAGTACCACCAACTCCTGAACCTCCAGTACCTCCAGCTCCAGTACCTCCAGCACCAGCAGCTCCAGTACCTCGCACCTCCAGCTCTAGCACCTCCAACACCAGCAGTTCCAACACCTCTAGCACCAGCAGCCCCAGTACCTCCAGCACCTGTACCTCCAGCACCTCCAGCTCTAGCACCTCTAGCTCTAGCACGGCTAGCTACACCACCAGGGCTACCCCACCGGACAGCCCACCCGCGAAGCCGCTCAGGGGAGAGAGTTTTCTGCCGACGTGCACCAGTGCCGCCAGCACTAGCGTCTTCAACACCAGTACCTCCAGCACCTCCAACTCCAGTACCACCAGCACCAGCACCTCCGGCTCCAGTAGCCCCAACACCTCCAGCTCGAGCACGGCTAGCTCCACCACCAGAGCTTCCCCATTGGATAGCCCACTCGCGAAGCCGCTCGGGCGAGAGAGTCTCCTGCCGACGTGCACCAGTACCGCCAGCTGTGTATCCTAAGCTGCAGGGCGCACTGGCCGCAGGGCACGTGAGCTGCAGGACGGCACGCGGGCTGCAGGGCAGGGCGACGCGTGGGCCGCAGGGCAGTGCAGCAAGCGGGTAGAACGCAGGGCAGGGCAGAGCGCGTGGGGTAGCGTGTGCAGGGCAGCGTGAGGGACGCTGTTCGGGCAAGGCAGGTTACGACCGGGCAGGGCAGGTTACGATCGGGCAGGGCAGTTCGGCAGTGCAAAAGATTAACGGTGGGCCCTAACGGAGCGGCCAGGACCTGCTCTAAATACCATGTCAGAAATAACAAGCAAGAATGGATGACTAGAAAGGATGAATGAGTACAAGTAGGGCAAGGTCTAACCCTAAAGTGTTGTACTCAGTAGAGGCTACCCCACTACAGCCTACAACATAGAAACATAGTTTGACACCTGCAAGACACCTACAGCTATAATAATTAGCAAGCTTCACAGAGGTGCAGTGCAGTGCAAGCACATGGTTGCCATGGAGCAGGCAGGCATGCACTGACAATGCAGCACGGATCGCGCTGCACCTTCACGTGATGCCATGCCATGCACTCTGATGACGGACAGACGGTGGAGCGGATTGGTTGGAGTGAGCTTATTGTCCTTGTAGCACTGCGCTCACAGTCACAGGTCAATGGGAACGCGCATGCCATCGTATGCGAGGTCCACATCCAGCCCCTCTTGCTGCTGCAGCTGCCGCAGCTGTGATGACACACTCTCATGCTCCATCACATGCATCATGCCTGCACCACGGTACGGGGCACACGAGGCAGTGGGGAGTGTAGCACAGGTGGGACAGGTGGGTCTTGAGAGGAGGGAGGGATGACGGATGAGGTGTAGGAGTGGGTATGCAGGAGGCGGCACGGGTGACTGGGAGAGTCATGCCATCATGCTGTGCAATGCCTTTATGCTAGCATCATGTGCCATGGCAAGAATGGCGGTGGGCGGTGCATGGAAGTGAGTGGTGCATGGAAGTGAGTGGCGCATGGAAGTGAGTGGTGCATGGAAGTGAGTGGTGCATGGAAGTAAGTGGTGCATGGAAGTGAGTGGTGCATGGTGCATGGCATGAGACAAGAGAGGTGCAACAGAGCATACGGAGGCAGGCAGTGGTGTGCATGGCCTGGAGGTGCCTCTAGAAGGGGCAATGCATGCAGGCAGGCAAGAGAAGTGCATGTAGAGGGTGAGAACGGAGCCTGGAGGAGGCGGAGCACGGCATGCATTGGGAGGGCCTGACCTGTGAAGAGGGTTCGCTGAGGGCGGATCTTGCGAACCTCCTCCAATGCCTGCATGCCACCATCGGCACACGGAGGGATGGAGGCCAGGGTGAGCACACGCGTGCGCGCGCGCACGTGTGTGTGTGTGTGTGTGTGTGTGTGCGTGTGTGCGTGTGTGTGTGTGTGTGTGTGTTTGTGGGTGGGTGTGTGTGTGCGTGCATGTGCGTGTGTGTGTGTGCGAGCGTGCATGCGCGTGTGCGTATGTGAGTGTGTGCACGTGCTCGTTTGTGTGTTCGTGCTCGTGTGCGTGTGCGTGCATGTGTGTGTGTGTGTGTGTGTGTGTGTGTGTGTGTGTGTGTGTGTGTGCGTGTGTGTGAGTGTGCGCACGTGCGTGCGCGCGTGCGCGTATGTGTGTTGGTGGGTGGGTGTGGTCGTGCGTGCATGCGTGTGTGTTTGTGTTTGTGTGCGTGTGTGTGGGTGTGGGTGTGGGTGGGTGTGTGTGGGTGTGTGTGCGTGCGCGTGTGCGTGTGCGTGCGTGTGCGTGCGCGTGTGCGTGTGCGTGCGTGTGCGTGTGCGAGTGTGTGTGCGTGTGCGTGTGTGTGTGTGGGTGGGTGTGAGTGCGTGTGCGTGCTCGTGTGTGTGTGCATGTGCGTGCGTGTGTGTGTGTGCGTGTGTGTGCGAGCGTGTGTGCGTGTACCTGAGTGTGCGCGCGTGCGCGCGCACGTGTGTGTGTGTGTGTGGGTGGGTGTGGTCGTGCGCGTGTGTGGGTGGGTGTGGTCGTGCGCGTGTGTGGGCGGGTGTGTGTGTGCGTGCGCGTGTGCGTGTGCGTGCGTGTGCGTGTGCGAGTGTGTGTGCGTGTGCGTGTGTGTGTGTGGGTGGGTGTGTGTGAGTGCGTGTGCGTGCTCGTGTGTGTGTGCATGTGCGTGCGTGTGTGTGTGTGTGTGCGTGTGCGTGCGACCGTGTGTGCGTGTACGTGAGTGCGCGCGTGCGCGCGCACGTGTGTGTGTGTGTGTGGGTGGGTGTGGTTGTGCGCGTGTGTGGGTGGGTGTGGTCGTGCGCGTGTGTGGGTGGGTGTGTGTGAGTGCGTGTGCGTGTGTGTGAGAGCGTGCGTGTGTGTGTGTGTGTGGGTGGGTGTGGTCGTGCGTGTGTGTGAGTGGGTGTGGTCGTGCATGTGTGTGGGTGAGTGTGTGCCAGTGCGTGTGCGTGCTCGTGTGTGTGTGTGTGCGCGTGCGAATGTGTGTGTGCGTGCGAGTGTGCGTGCGTGTGCACGAGTGTGCGCGCGTGCGTGGGTGTGTGTGTGTGTGTGTGTGTGTGTGGGTGTGGGTGTGTGTGTGTGTGCGCGTGCGTACGTGCCCATGCGCATGTGCTTGTGTGTGTGCGAGCGAGCATGCATGTGTGCGTGAGTGTGCATGCCTGCGTGCGTGTGCGTGTGTGCGTGCGAGTGTGTGTGCGTGTGCGTGAGTGTGCACGCGTGCGTGCGTGCGTGCGTGTGTGTGTGTGTGTGTGTGTGTGTGTGTGTGGGTGGGTGTGGTCATGCGTGTGTGTGGGTGGGTGTGGGTGTATGTGTGTGCGAGCGTGCATGCACGTGTGCGTGAGTGTGCATGCGAGTGTGCGTGTGCGTGTGTTCGTGCGAGTGTGTGTGCGTGTGCGTGAGTGTGCGCGCATGCGTGTGTGTGTGTGTGTGTGCGTGTGCGTAGGTGGGTGGGTGTGGTCGTGCGTGTGTGTGGGTGTGTGTGTGCGTGTGCGTGCTCGTGTGTGTGTGCGTGCGTGTGTGTGTGTGTGTGTGTGTGTGTGTGCGTGTGTGTGCGCGCGTGCGTTTGTGTGAGCTGTTGCATGATGTGGTCATGAAGTATCGCATGGCATGGCATGGCATGGCATGGCATGGCATGGCATGGCATGGCATGGCATGGCATGGCATGGCATGGCATGGCATGGCATGGCATGGCATGGGATGGCATGGCATGACATGGCATGACTTATCACCTGTGGAAGACCGAAATGAGAGGCGCTAGAGCGGTCGGGGCGAAGGGCATCCTGGAGTGGAGGGGATGGACGCACGCATGTGGGATGATAGCAGTAGAGAGCTTGACCATGGTGGCAGGAGGTACGCATGGGGCAGTTGTGGGGGTGAGAGAGGAGGAGCAAAGATGATGGGGCAGTGGTGGTGGGGGCGTGAGGGAAAGAAGCAGAGAGATGCTGTGCAGAGGGGGAGCATCGGAGCAGGGGGGACGAGCGAGCGAGCGCAAACAGAGGCAACAACGAGGGGAGTGAGGGGGGTGGGCGGGGGGGGCAGCGGAGGCACGTACGAGGATGAGGAGCTTGCAGTTGTCAAGCAGGGGATACGTGGACTCTGGGATGGCGCTCACATCACTGGTGGCGATGGCAGACACGGGGATTGATTGAGTGAGAGGAGAAACAGGAGGCTGCAGCAAGCACGGGGAACGTTAACACCCATGCTGGACGAATTGCTTGGCAAGTAAGAATACATGATGGCACCGCTGATCTTGATTCTAGCCAGGGAATGAATGAGGTAGCAAGTGGTTGCACCCTCCCTATGTGCTCCACCCACAGCCATGCACATGGCATGGCAGCGGGGATGCAGGGGTTGTGGATGCGTGGTGGGCGCACCTGATGTAGCAAACATCGCCAAAGCGGTAGCCAAAAGACAGGTAGTTGGCGCCGTGCCACACAGGCAGAGGGGTCACCTGCGGAAGGGGCAGGGGGCACGCATGGCAGAGAGGGGTGAGCGAGGGGCTGACGCATGCAGGGTATCAGGGCTTGGGTGCTGGTGCTGCTGTTGCAGGTGGGGACGTCAGGCGGGTGGCAGGAAAGCGTGGCAGGTGGGGCTGGGCAGGTGGAGTGTGGGCGGCCTTGGATGCTAGCTCTGCCATGCATCCATTCTCCACCAGTCAACCGAGCTCATATGCCCCTCACTGGCGGGCATGGGGGACGAAGAGTGGAGCAGACCACACAGGTGCCCCCTTCAACGAGTATCACGTATATACGAAGCGTATCTCTACGAAAAAAAAAAAAAAAAAAAAGCGTGATACGCTCCACAATATGCGATACACTTTGGTGAGGCAGCCCCAAAAAAAATTATAATAATAATTAAAACCAAACAAACACGCAAATTATGTTGCGGTGTTCTCGCGATCTGCGTTTATGCAAAACCTGATTGAAGATGCGAATTCTTTCCCCTCCCCCATCTTGCCCACCTGCCCCCCCCCCCGCACTTCCTCCCTCCTGCACATCACCTCACACCACCTCCCAAGCCCAACCCTTCCCTTCCACTACTAGCAACTCGCAGCTTTCACGTCGGCGTGGGTACAACAGCAAGGGAGCACCTTTCGAATCTCAATTCTCTCACGCCTACTTTACTCTTCATACTTTCGAACTGAGAGTTTACCTTCAAACAGCTACGTCGACTGCCATGCCGCACGTGCTATTGCTCACAGCGGCATGAATGCCGCGTCGCTTGCAGGATCTTCGCAGCCACGAGTTCAGCACGATTCGAGCCAACAATTTCTCAAACATTTCAGAGTTTCTAGTCACGAAAACTCAGAAAAAAAATCCGCATCTGCAAGTATTAATTAAGTATTTTTCCCCTGAAGCATTCTACCTCCACAAAAATGTTTTTACCGGTTCAAAGGATTTTTACCTGCCCTGCCCGACACCGTACTCAGGGTTATTTTGTACGCTGGATCTCATATGTACGGTAGCGTATAGTTCGTACGCGTGCCACACGAGATTCGCGTAAGTTCCCACATAGGGTAGGTCATTGACTTCACTCCCCATGCGCTAGTGGTTGTCATGGCACATGGCAATGGGAGGGCAACAAGTGTGCACCGTAGGTTGGCAAACCATACACTGGCGGGGAGGAGCACGGTGGGGAGGGGCACCGCGGTGTTAGAACTTAAGATTGTATTGAGTAATGAGCCAAGAGGCTGTATAATACAAGCATGCAAGAAAGGGAAGAGTAGAGAAGGAGCTAACCCTATTGGCCACTAAGTTGGCCAATGGGTGAGGTGCCTTGTAGAGCAAGCAACCTCACAATGTAGCTAAGTTGGGATTGGTTGGTCTAAGGACCAAAGGTTGGCAAATGCCAACCAAGGACCATGGCCATATCCAATCTTGACCAACCACAAAGTGTGGTTGGAGTGTACACCCAACCCCCCAAGAAAAAGAGAGATGGGCATGGTTGGAGGAGAGGGGCATGGTTGGAGGAGAGGGGCATGGTTGGAGGAGAGGGGCATGGTTGGAGGAGAGGGGCATGGTTGGAGGAGAGGGGCATGGTTGGAGGAGAGGGGCATGGTTGGAGGAGAGGGGCATGGTTGGAGGAGAGGGGCATGGTTGGAGGAGAGAGGCATGGTTGGAGGAGAGGGGCATGGTTGGAGGAGAGGGGCATGGTTGGCACCTGTAGGCCGTGCACGAGAAAGGGCGAGGTGTCGATGGCGTGGAAGTGCAGCGCGGACACGGCCGTGCCGGGCACGAGGCTGGATGTGTCCATCAGGTAGTAGTGCGTCTTCTCCATCACCTGGCGAGGAGGGAGAGGCAGGGGGCAATTAGCATGGGGATGAATTGCAAGCAGTGGGGGTGGGGAGAGGCGCCGCACAACCAGCCTCTAAAAGACGTGGCAATGGGAAGGGAAGGGAAAGGTGAAGGAGGCGGTGGGTGTGGTGTGCGGGAGCGAGGGAGTGTGATGTGGGGGAGCGAGGGAGAGGAATGCAACGGGAACCATGCGTGCAGGTGCAGAAGGCCAGGTCTCGTCTCGCAGGTGGTGGATGTGTGATGGGGGAGAGAAGGGTGACGTGCGAGTTTAGGTTAAAAAACTGAAGCTCACGAATGAGAATGGTGTGACGCCACAATGCCATGCCATGCCATGCTATGCCATGCCATGCCATGCCATCCCATGCTATGCCATGCCATGCCATGCTATGCCATGCCATGCCATGCTATGCCATGCGCCCCGCCCTGCCCTGGCGTGTCCTCCCCCGCCCTGCCCTGCCCGCCCCTGCCCTGCCCTGCCCTCCGCCGCCCTCTCCCTCCCTGCCGTGCCCCCGTGCGCACAGTGAGGTCTCTCTGGCTAGCAAACACGGGGATGTCATCCTGCACGTTGTTCGTCCAGTCCCTCAGGTCGTCCAACCCTGCTCACACCACGCACACACGCACACACACACACACACAAACACACACACACACACACACACACACACACACACATACACACGCGCACACACACATACACACACACACACCCTTACACACACGCGCACACACATACACACACACACACCCATACACACGCGCACACACACATACACACAGACACACACACCCATACACACGTGCGTGCACACACACACGCGCACACACACACACACAGCAGGGGGGTAGGGTGAGAGCAGGAGAGGCAAAGGTAGCTACGTGGGCTCCACTTTCTCCTCCCAGTAGAAACGTTTCTGCCAACGTCAAACACCTGGTTCATTCCATTTCGTCAAATCATCGTACAAATAGACAACAGGTTTGAGCAGTTCACTGGCTTGAAGCAAAGTCGCACAGGTGTTCACTTTATTTTGTTATTCTTGCTGCTCCAGTCCAAGTAGCCATTTCGTTCACACAATACAATTTCGCATGTTCTTTTCCTTAGCGCTGCTCTTGCCACGGGTTTTTCCCCCAGTGATTTTTGGGTGTTGCGTCCAGTTGCGTAGGCACCCTGAAACTGATGTTTCCACCTTGCTCACAACAACCAACTGATCATATCAGACTCTGTTACCCTCGTGCGAGCAACTCACCTCCTATGGCGTCGGCGTGGGAATGCGTGATGAGTACAGCGTCGATGTGGCGGATGCTGATTGGTGGAGATCAACAATGCACGGCCGCACAGAGCATTGGATTGAAAGAGAAGAACGGGAGGAGGACGAGAAGGCGGAAGATAATGAGTAAGGCAGAAGAAACGGGTCGGTACAGGTAAGGAAGGATGTGAGGATGGTGCATGGGATGGGAAGACAAGACAAGCACTGCAGCAAAGGGTGGAACGGAGAGACAATAGAGAAGAAGGGTGTGGGCTGGACTAGAGACAAGAACGGGAATATGGGGAAGAGGAATGCGTGGGGTCATGGAGGGGTAACAAGCGGGTGAGGCGAGACGGGTGAGGCGAGACGGGTATAACACGATGCAACGGAGAGGGAGAGACAATGGCATGCACGACAGCGAGAGGGCACGCAAGACAGAGGGGGGGGGGAGGACACATGCAGTTGGGAGAGGGAGGGAGGGAGCACTGACTTGTGGTAGGGGAACCACTGCAGCGCGCTGTGGTAGAAGAACCTGGTCATGCACCGCACCGCACACACACAGGCAGGCGGAGCAGCATGGACGGGAAGGCGAGCAAGGGCATGACGGGTGAGAGGGGTTGAGGAGACGGCAGCACGTGGACATGCGGAGGTGCATTGGTACGAGCATGGAGGCAGGCGGGTGGGCGGGCCTAGTGGTGGCATGGCAGTGCGTGCAGTGAGCTTCACGCGGCAGCAACACAGCCGTTACGCAGCAGAGGGCACGGGCACGCACTTGCCAGCGTCTATGAGGATGTTGCGAGTCACGGGCCCGTCCGCCCCTCCGTGCGTGCGGTGCCTGATGAGCAGCGATGTGTTGCGCCGCCTGTTGCGGTTGCCCGGCTGTGTGGCCGCCTCACACACCTGCCACGGGCGCACAGACACCCGAGAGGAAGGCGGGGCGTGAAAGCCGTGGCGAGGCGAGGAGGCGAGAAGGTGAGGAGGCAGGGAGGCAGAGACAGCGAGGTGGGAGAGGTAAGGCATCCTCGGCACAAGGCAGGGAGGCTCAGTCAAGCAGCCTCCGACCCTTGTTCATGCACAATGCGCATACGGGCTTGTGCTCCCACCACCACATGCGCTCCCAACGCGAGGTGCCAGGGCACGTGTTGAGCTCACAGGGCATATCTTGTCGGGGTTAGTCAAGCAGCTGACACGTGGAATGCCCTCGCTCGTCCCCGTGCCCACGAACACAATATCGCTTCTCGCCTCGCTGCCTTTCCCGTCCTTCTCACAGTCCTCGTCACCGTCGCCGTCACCGCGCGGGCGCGCGCGGCTGAGCGGCCCGTCCGCGAAGTCGAAGGCTTCGGCCGTCACGCGCGCTGCACCACGCCCGCTGCCGTTCCGCGGGGCGCCGTGCTGGTGCGCGAGTGTGCGGTGTGAGGTGGGCGGTGTGGGGGAAAGGAGCGAGCGGATCGCAGCGCGGGAGGCGGATGGCGCCGACAAGGGGGCTGCTGCAGCCAGGGATGTACGCTCGCTGCGCAGGGCGCCGGCACGCGCCGGGGAAAAGCGGCCGGGCGAGGCAGCGGCGGTTGACGGCGCCATTGCGCGGAGAGCGGGGTGCGGGTGTGAGCGGGCGGGGATGCATGGCGGCAGCGCGGTGGGCGCAGTGGTGCGTTGACACGCGAGTGGTGGGCAGGGCCGAGCCATGGAGGAGGCGGGGACGAGGAGGGTGCGGGGGAGCGACGACGCGCACCGTGTGACCGATGTCGCTGCTGACGTGGCGAGTCTGGAGAGGAGAGATGAGGACATGGAGGGAGGCGCAAGGCGACGAAGTGCGCGCCGTCTTACGGGCCAGAGAAGCGATGTGAGGCTTTGAGGCAAGAAGCTAAAGCTTCTGGCGACATCGCGATATAAGCTGAGCCGCTCTCGTCATACCAACATTTTTATCTCACTCGTCCACAATATTAGCTCTAATATATTGGTTCACATGCGTCATTCTTGTCAATTCACACTTGTGCCACAACCTTGGACATGCACTATAAGTAAGATTCATTTGTGTAGGCAGTTGGTGGCTGCGCTTGAAAAGTTTTGCCCTCATTGTTGTGCGGGTTGCTGTTGTGTTTGGTACTTAGGTGCCTTGTTCCTTAAGTCTCTTCCTCTCTTCTTCTCCTCTCTTCCTCTTTCCCTTCTCTTTCTCACTCCTCCTTTCTTCTTATCACCCTCTTTGTTGGAATAACCAAGGGTTATTACAGCATTCCCGAAGGTTCTCCTTAGCGCGCCGCTTCATAACGAATCAACGCACTTGTACTGTTATTGCATTAGCTCGTATATGTCAAACATATGTTTATATCATATTTGTGGGTAGGCTGTAGTGGGGTAGATTATGTGGGGTATAACCCCTTAGGCTTTTTTCCTTGTACTCAATTCTCTCGATAGTGCAACCCACCCATGCCTAGCTTCTAAGATGGTATCTAGAGCATAGGTCTTTAGGACCTAAGTTTAGGGCCTACCGTTCATCACTTTACCTCACCAACGGCTTGCCTGCCTTGCCGCCTCGGCTGCACGCGCGCGGCCTTTTTTTTTTTTTCCCGCGCGCGCCACTTAAATAGCCCGCGCGCAGCCCGTTTTCGGCCGCGCGCGCCACGTTAGCCGCCCGCCCCCACCTGCCGTCCCGCGCGCCGCTTAAACCGCCCGCGCACAGCCGCTTAGGCCCCGCCCGCGCGGCCCGCCGCCGCACGCAGCCCGTAGCCGCGCGCAGCCCGTCGCCAAGCACAGGCAGCAGCCGCGCGCAGCCCACAGCCGCACGCAGCACGTCACCACGCGCAGCCAGCAACCGCGCGCAGCCCGGAGCCGTGCGCAGCAGCAGCAGCAGCAGCAGCGCGTGTCCTGCCTGCCTTGCGTAGGCGAGCGCCACTTAAGCAGCCCCTGGACCTAGAGCAGCCGCCCCTGGAACCAGAGCAGCCGCCTTTGGCTCCTACAGCAGCCGTCCCTGGTGCAACCGCCCCTGGACCCTCGAGCAGCTGCCCCTGGACCCTGAGCAGCCGCCCCTGGCCCCTGCAGCAGCCGCCCCTGGTGCAGCCGCCCCTGGACCCTTGAGCAGCCGCCCCTGGAACGAGAGCAGCCGCCCCTGGCCCCTGAAGCAGCCGCCCTTGGTGCAGCCGCCCCTGGACCCTCGAGCAGCCGCCCCTGGAACCAAAGCAGCCACCCCAGGCTCCTACAGCAACCGCCCCTGGTGCAGCCGCCCCTGGACCCAGAGCAGCCGCCCCTGGCTCCTACAGCAGCCGCCCCTTGTGCAACCGCCCCTGGACCCTCGAGCAGCTGCCCCTGGACCCTGAGCAGCCGCCCCTGGCCCCTGCAGCAGCCGCCCCTGGTGCAGCCGCCCCTGGACCCAGAGCAGCCGCCCATGGCTCCTACAGCAACCGCCCCTGGTGCAGCCACCCCTGGACCCAGAGCAGCCGCCGCTGGCTCCTACAGCAGCTGCCCCTGGTGCAACCGCCCTGGACCCTCGAGCAGCTGCCCTTGGACCCTGAGCAGCCGCCCTTGGCCCCTGCAGCAGCCGACCCTGGTGCAGCCGCCCCTGGACCCAGAGCAGCCGCCCCTGGCTCCTACAGCAGCCGCCCCTGGTGCAGCCGCCCCTGGACCCTCGAGTAGCTGCCCCTGGACCCTGAGCAGCCGCCCCTGGCCCCTGCGGCAGCCGCCCCTGGTGCAGCCGCCCCTGCACCCTCGAGCAGCCGCCCTTGGAACCAGAGCAGCCGCCCCTGGCCCCTGAAGCAACCGCCCCTGGTGCAGCCGCCCCTGGTGCAGCCGCCCCTGGACTCCGTGCAGCCGCCCCTGGTCGCCACGACGCCGCCCCTGGACCCGTGAGGCCGCCCCTGGACCCCGTGCAGCCGCCCGCCGAGCGCCGGCCCTGCTCGCCCGGCGAGCGCCTGCTCTTCTCGCCACTGGTGAGCACCTGCCTTGTTAGCGCACTGTCGCACTGCCTGCCTGCATGCCTACCTGCCTGCCTACCTGCCTGCCAGCCGGCCTGCCTGCCTGCCTTCCTGCCTGCCAGCCAGCCGGCCTGCCTGCCTGCCTGCCTGCGCCAGGCGCCACGTGAGTGGCAAGAGACACTGAGGACTACACTTGCGGCTCTTGGGTTTGCTCCTTCGACTGCTGACCCGTCTCTGTTTCTTCGTACCGACACTTCGCTGCCGCCGTTCTACATCCTCGTGTACGTCGACGCCTTGGTTTTGACTACTACTGACACTGAGGCTCTCGCCCTGGTGAAGTCGGAGCTGCACAAGAGACACACGTGCACAGACCTGGGTGAGCTACGCAGTTACCTTGGCTTATAGATCACCCGGAACAGAGCACGCCGCACCATCTCACTGACTCAGTCACACATGGTGCGGCAGGTCCTTCAGCGCTTCGGCTTCACCTGGTCCTCGGCACAGGCCACTCCTTTGGCTACAGGTCACTCGCTCTCAGCTCCACCTTCGGACGAGTCCGTAGAGCCGAGTGGTCCTTACCCAGAGCTAGTTGGCTGCCTCATGTACCTGATGACTTGCACTCGTCCTGACCTCGCGTACCCTCTTGGCCTTCTGGCTCGTTACGTGGCTCTTGGTCGGCACCGACCAGAGCACATGGCTGCTGCTAAGAGGGTACTGCGCTACTTGTGCAGTACATCAGGCATGGGGCTCGTGCTTGGAGGGAGGAGCTCAGTTATTCTCACTAGGCACTCAGACGCTTCTTGGGTTGACGACCAGGCTACTGAGCGGTCGTCACAGGGTTACACCTTCAGCCTTGGCTCTGGCTTAGTTTCTTGGCGTTCTACATGCTCGTCTTCAGTTCTCAACTCCAGTTGTGAGGCTGAGATCTACGCCATAGCCATGGCTGCACAGGAGTTACGCTGGCTCACCTACCTGTTGACCGACTTGGGAGAGCGGCCTCGTTCTCCTCCACTGCTGTACGTCGACAACAAGGCTGCCATTGCCTTGTGTGAGGAGCACAGACTGGAGCACAGAACGAAGCATATCGCTCTGCGTTACTTCGTGGCTCGAGAGTTGCAGCTGCGTGGTCAGCTTCGTCTACGTTACGTGGCCACTCGGGCCAATAGTGCTGATATATTCACCAAGGCACTTCAGTCTGGTGATCATCAGCGTTTGTGCACTTTGCTGGGGCTTGTGCCCACTCTTCCTCACTTGGTGTAGACCTTGCGTGTACTGTGATCTATATATACATACCTGCATACTTGCTTTGCTAGGTAGAGATCACTGTGATGTTTGTTTTGCATATATGCCTCCGCATGTGAACTGGCCTTGTGGTCCTTTTCTTGTGCTCAGTGTGTTGTGGTGACGTCGTGATCCACCCTGAGCTTGCTTTGCTTTTCTTGACTGGTCTTGTGACCTCTTGCTCTCCCCCACTTTGCCTATGGGGGTGTGTCAAACATATGTTTTTATCATATTTGTGGGTAGGCTGTAGTGGGGTAGATTATGTGGGCTACTCAATTCTCTCGATAGTGCAACCCACCCATGCCTAGCTTCTAAGAGTATAGAGTCAATAGCTACGCGAAGGTCAACAATCGCAGGGAAGTCAATGGTCGCGACAGTTGACCACCCCGCCATTGTAATTGGAGATTACACGCTGCAACATGGTAACTATCGAGAATCGTAATAGTCGTGGTTACTGTAGCAATGCAAAACATTTAAATAAGGGAATGTACCCCTCAGAGTACGGTACATGGCTAGCTGTGAATGCTATTTATTTCCCTTGTAATGCTATCGTCATTACTTTGTTCTCTTTTAACTTATTATAAACAAGGTCACTTAAAGATTTCATTGTCTTCCTCATACATTTGGCTGGCTGAATCCTATTATTGAGAGACTAAGTCAAGTTAGGGCTTAGGTTTTAGGAAGGAGAAGGGTTGTACTAGCAAGCAGGTGGAGTACATAAAGGAAACCCTACAAAGGGTTGTACTCTATGTTGAGTACCCCACTACAGCCTACACAGCAAATAACATTTTGACACACCCCCATAGGCGAAGTGGGGGATAGCCAACAAAACAAGCAGTTGCAGGACCAGTTCACAAGAAAAGGCTAGTGGCAGAAACAGAGGGCAAGTGAGGAGGAGGAGGGACCATGAGAGGAGAGGAGGAGGTGGGCGGCCCCGGAAGTTGCTGGCACACGGCGCAAACTGGAGTAACTGGCTCTGCTCGCCGGCAAGAACAACTGACCCACGGTCAACTGGAGCAAGTGGCACACAGGCAACTGGAGTAACTGACTCTGCTCGCCGGCAAGAGCAACCGACTCACGGGCCACTGGCGCAACAATCTTACGGGCGACTGGAGCTGCGGACTTCACGGCGGCCACCCGCCTTCAACCTCCTCGCATTGTCCGAAACCCCCTTCAACCTCCTCACACCCCTCGACATCCCTAGCGCCACTCCCTCGTCTCCCCCACACCCTCCCACCCCTCAGCGGCAGCTACAGCAGTGGAAGAGAGAGGAGGAGGAGCGGCAGCTGATCACTCACGCCCGCCACCCCCATACCCTGCCACGGCTGCACGCGCAGCAAGGAGATGAAGGAGAAAGGGAGGGGGGGGGGGGGGGGGGGGGAGGGGGGGGGG